TTTCTATTTTTTTTCTGGGGGAAAGTACTTCTAACTCATCGAGCTGATCCTCTGACAGTGACCCAGCTGATTGGTGAAATCAAGGGTATTCGATGTTTAAAAACTTTTAAGTATTTACAAATGTAATTTATATGTAGATTGTGCAATTTAACATTTTTCTGTCAGTATTATGTGCTTAGATTTTGAATAATCTTGGCGTTCTTTAAATTAAAACTTAATATGTACAGGTAGCTTTTTTAATCTGTTTTGGGAAACACTGTCCTCCAACCTTGCTTTCACTACGAAGTTTAAGATGATTTTTATGTGCAATATTATTTAAAAGAGATCCACGTTTGTATACCTGGCATTGTAGAAAGAAACGCTTCAAACTTAAAACTTCTAGCACCTTTGGAGGATACTCGAAGAGTCAACCTTGCTGTATCCTTTGAGAGACAAAGTTGAGAACGCTTCTCACTGCACCAGTGCTGGTCTGAATGCTCCTGAAACGCTCGTGACGAGGCGGTGCTGTGTGAGCTCAGGGGCTGCCTGTGTGCTTCCAAAGCGTTCTGGCGGTTGCTAATGATGATTATGCTGCAGATTGTACTGAAGGATGGGGGAAGCAGGGGTTTGTGTGCGTGTGGCAGGTGTGTATATAAGTATATATAAGCGCACTCGTTAATTGAAGATGAGATTTGCAGTGAGAGCTATTTTTCTGTAAGGCAGTTTGGCTACCGTGTTTCAGCTTGAACTGAGGTCTGTATTTGATCCTTGCTGTTGTCTTCTGACGTACACACTTGCACACTAGTGGTTGGGTTTTTTTGGGGGGAGGGGGGAGTTTTGTTTGTTTTTTTTAATGACAGAACTTTTACTTTACTCTTGAAAGCTGCAGCACCTGTCTCATAAGAAATTTTGTAGTGGTAAAAGCTTTGCTTTGGTTTTATTTTTTGTTCGTTTTGTTTTTGTTCTGCTGGGACTCTAAATGAACGGGGCATATGCAGAGAAAGAAAACACTGCCCAGGTGTTGCATCTCAAAAGTTGGAGCCCTGGCCCTGCTGAAGGTGCCAGGATGTCACCTACTATTTTTAGTCTTAACTGATGCTGTAGCACACCTACCTTGTGCAAAGATCTCCATTTCTTACTGTGACTGTTTGGGTTAACAGTGAGCTGCCAATACAGTTTGGTATCCCAGACCAGTGGAGAACCAGTTCAGGTCACATCCTCACAGCCATCTGGGTTGTTCAGCAACCGAAGGGTATAAATGTATTTATATGCATATAATGTATTGATTCTAATATAAAACTTCTGATCTAAAGTATTTTGAATTTTTGGATAAAGGGATTTGTTTGAAGAGTGTTTAAGTAGTTCTTGAAGAGGTACAGCTTCAGAATGTACACAGATTGTGCATTGTGTATAGACTACTCTGGCTTTTCCTCAGCCTCTACTTTTGTATTAAAGATATGCCTGAATAAATCCTTGAAATATTAAGGGCCTTCTGCACTGTGATGAAGCAGAGTTATGGTTAAAAATGTCTTTAAATTCAGCGATGAGGAATAAAGCGAAAAGACTGCATTTAATTTCTTCTTGCATTTGAAAATATGGAATGTTACTATGCAGTAAAGGTATTTTGGTATGAAAATTATATCATGTAGCAAATAGCAAACAGTTAATAAATCTGCTTACCTTGCAGTCCCCATAGGGAGACTTGCTTTTCAGCATTTACATGCTAAAAGTTTTTTGTACACTTCAGACATAGATTAAATTGTTGGTACGTTTCATCAACAGTACAAAATGTGATTTCTGTTCAATCTGTTGCCACAAAGCTCTGTTTCTAATTGGTTGCTTGCATCACAGTGCCAAGACCGTAAGCTGGTATGTAATGCAGTTGGGTTATGTATGGAATTATGTGCAAAGGGAAGTTTGATTATTATTATTTTTTTTTTAAATATGCACAAACTAATTTTAAAATCCTTCCATGTAAAATGAAGTTAGAGGCTAGTTGTGGTGGACCTATTTATTGTATGTTTGGAAATAAAAGCCACAGTTTTGCAGTTTAACCATTTATATTTTGAAGTCTTCAGTATTTCTTTTATAAATGAATGACCTTGCCACTCTTCATTGATCCATCTCCTTTCAAAGTGTGATGTTTTTCCATAGGTCTCTACTGCAGATTACACCGATGACTTCAAGTTTAAAGTTCTCTGTTCTCTTCCTGTTGTCAACCACTAAAATGAAGTTCACTGCAGAAGAGTGGGGATCCCTCATCTTAATGGTAGAGCACTGACTGCAGCTTATATGTGAGGCACTCCTCCTGCCTGTGGCCACAAAGGCTACTGAGCACAGCCTGAACAACGTGAGTCTGGAGGTGACTTCCCAGAAATGTGTTTTTGGCTGTGAGAGCATTGCAGCAGCGCAGACCCGCTCATGTGATGGGTCCTGAAACTTACTAATAGGAAAGCTTCCTTCATGAAGGTACAGTAGTGCAGCATATTAAGAAAATGAGGGGATCAGATCACGCTGAGACTTCAAATGTAGTGTGTGGTTTCTCTGTTTGCTTACCTCGGTTTTAGCCACTCTGAAGGATCTGGCTTCAACATGATGCACAGTGCTGGTATAGCATGGCTGGCAGGGGAGGTGTAGGCAATACTCGGGATGCTCTGATTGGATCAATGTTCTGTGTACTGGGAGATGGAACAAGAGTAATTTCCAGCTCACACAACAGGGAAGTACACACAAGAAGGTAACCTATGCATGAGTTCTGCAAGGAAAATGAATTATAATTAGTTCCCAAACTAATTTTGAGCTATTAAAAAGCAGTATTAGGAGAGTTAAGCTATTAAGATGCAGCAGTGTGTCAGTGAAGTACGTATTACTAAACCAAGCATTTGTGGAAATGGGCAGTTGTTTGGCTTTCAGGTATTTACCTAATATCCTAGTATTCATCAGTATCTTGCCTTTAGTGAAAAAAAAAAAAAAAAAATCTGTAACCTTCATTCCATACATTTTTCCCTCATTAGGACTCAGAGAGCACTCGGAGCCAAAGTTCTGGACTGGCTGTGCTTTGGCACTTAAGCTGAGCTGGATGGTTGTGGGGTTTTTTGCCTTTTTTTTTTTTTTTTTTCCCCCCTTCACTCTATCAAGGTAAACTCAAATTCACAGTGGCTTTGGGGTTTTAACATTTAATTTGAATGCAGCTTATTTTTAGTCATATTTTCTCTGCTGTTTTAACTGGAATAGGAGTAAGTATTGGTGGGCTACTCCCATGTTCACTCCTAAGGCCAATCTGTAAATGCTGTATATTATAAATGCTGTAATCTGTGTTCACCTCTGACTCTGCAGCATTTTGGAGTGAGTTTAGAGTAGGGCCTCAAGGATGGCCAGTGGGCAGGAGCACCTTCATATGAAGACAAATCTATAGTGATCAAGATCAGCATCTAAAGCTTTTTTAACATGGAGGGTGTACAGTATACTCACCAATACTTAGGTGTACTCATACTAAGGTCTGGATTGCTGTTTATGTTATCAAATTATATGTATTTTAATTTGGACTTTTAAAAAATAAGGTCTACCCTAGGAATATAATGCTTCAAAGACAGAACGTCCCAAAACTGTGCCTCTCTGCTCTGTTCAATTCTAAGGATTGATTGTTGGAATAAGGGTCCCTAAGAGATTACAGCTTTGAACAGAGGATCATTGAAATGTTTTCAGTCTTTCACAATGGGATTGGATTTTTTTTGTTCTATTTTACTCAAAACTGTAGACAACTTTCCTTCTATAGAGGAACCATTTCTGTAACCACAGTGCTAATTTGAACTTTGTAGAACTTTGTTCTATGGATGTATTTTCCCTCTAGTTTCAAACAGGAAGAAAAATGCATTTCAGTCCAGCTCTGCAATGTAAAACTCTCACCTTGCTTTAGTTTTCATCTTTTCAAAACCATGAGCAAATGCTAAGTTCCGTGGTATTTATCTTTCACAAACACAGAGTAGAGTGACAAGTTGTTTAGATCATCAAAAACTAGAGTATTTCACTGTTGGGAGCTCAAAAGTAAGATTGGAAGTGATGAAATTTGTAGCTTAAAACACGCTAAGTTGCGAAGCTTTTCCTCCCTGTATCATTTTCACAGAACGAACACCTGCTCCTACTTCATACAATTGTGTATTTCAGGAGTTGGTGAGTGGCGATTGTTAGCAGGCTTGGCTTCGTGCCTGAGAAGGCAACAAGGAAATGACAAAAGGAAGTGAACAGTGAGTATTTGTGCAAAACGCATCATAGGGTTTTTTCCGTCACCCCTTGTTTCCAAAGATAAGAATAGAAGGCAAGGCTGGTCTGCAGCTGAAAATGATCTACTAACAAGTTTAGAGAGGCCTGTCTCCCTTTCTGTGTGAGCATCCCCCAAATAGATTGTGTCCTAGTTTTGATGCAGGCAGCTGGGACTCCACAAACTTGATGCTGAATTGAATTGCTTTACAATTTCCTATCTGTGAGTCCTTTTCTTTGAATAAATGAGTTCAGACTGAAGATAGGAGTCACTGGTCTTCTCTCACCTGTCATGTGCTGCAGTGCTCAGGTAGCCCAGAACATCTGTCCAAAAAAAGAAAAAGCTGAAACAGAGACCATCATCTGTGGAAGCCCAGTAGTTTTTTCCATGCTGAATCGAATTATATAGGGCTGAAATTTCCCTTTCCCAGTCCCTTAGGCAGGGCTGCAAGACTGCTTCTGTGACTGAGGTGTTATGTATTCACCCTTCCCTGCGGGAATGGTGCAAAAATTCTTTGATACATCAATCTAATGCCAGTGAAAGCAAAGCCTGCAAAAAGATAACAGTAACAAACTAAAAAATGCCCTCTCAAGGACCCTCTTCAGGGCCCTGCTTCTCTGAAATAATGAGATTTTATTCTCATAATTGTTTTCAATACCAACCTCAGATTTACATTCTCAACTTATTGGCAATTTGCTATTATTTACTGAGTTTATTACTACAAACCACTGAATACACCTTTATGCTCTCTGAAAGACTTACAGGGGAAATTCAGACTGATTTCAAATCAGTGTTAGGTGCTAAAGCTCACCCTGCTGCTGAATGCAGTTGGAGCCTTCAGCCCAGCCCTGCAGAACTCCTTTTGAGAGGATAGGAAACTGCTGAGCTGCCTGCTTTCAAACAGCACTTTTCCAAAGGCTCTGTTACTGTTTACAGAGGACCACTGTACAGTTTGTTTCATGCTAATAGCATTGAGGTATCATATGCTTTACTAAGTTAGAGCAACTGTAATTGCCCTGCTGAACAGTTTGCTGGATGAAGAATTGGAGTCTGCTGGTACTGTGTGGTATTCTTAATTCCAAGAGTAGAGAAGACACATCATTAATGAACCAACTTAGCTCAGGAATATCAGAGTTTGCTCCGTGTTGCATTCTTAGGATGAGCTTGAATGAGTTAACAACTAATTTAAAAAAAAGTTGGACAAAGTTCTCCCATACTGAGAGGGGCTAGAACAGTAAACTTCAACAGGTTTAGGGCCATGGTTTACAGCACTGCAGTACAAGTCCTGCTGTTAAGCTGTGGCAAGCAGGATTATGCGTGGTATGTGTGCTGAACGAATCCAAGAGGCCCTGACACAATCAGCTTCAGAGATGCAATTTATTTCAGTTAGCAACCAATGCCAGGACAAAACATTTTGAATCCGACCGTACCATTGACTACCTGTATTACCACAGCAGGCTCTCACAACACACACAAGCTCTACCTTCCTCAACCCCAATGAAAGCCACAGGTTGCAGAAGGCTCATTTCATTGTGCTAAGCAGTGGCAAAATAGCAGATCTCAGCCGATTCAGATTGGACCAAACAGAAGAGATGGTGTCACTTCACAACACACTTGAGGTATGCTCAGGTTTTGGCAGGGAAACCAGGTTTTTCATCAGAGGCTTTAAGGCCTTAAAGGTCAGTAATTCCAGAGAGCAGTCCAGAGGATCTTTGAAGTGTGATTGCAGCTGGATTTACTGTAAGAAAGATGAATCAGCAGCAAAACCTCTCAGGACAAAATTCCACCCTTTGACTTCATAAGTAGATGGGATAAATTCCTTCTAATACTGTGGCTTTAGGTACCTCCTGTACAGTAATAGTTAATTTCCTAATGAACATCTGCAGCCACCAGTACAAAGCCAGTAAGAAAATGCATTCAGTTCAAAAAGAAGGAAAACAATTAAAAAGTCCATTTGGTTCAACAAACATCGCTGTTGAAAAATTTCATGTTTAGGCTGGGTGTACTGAAAATGTGCTTCTTCCTTGGGAGTGTTATATATTGCATGTTCCCATCTGATGATGTGGTTTTCAGAAAGAGGTTACAGGTGAAAAGCTGATCCTGCCTGGAATCTGGCGATACAGAAAGCTGAGTGAAGAATTAAAAGTAAGTTAATGTTTTCTATGCTACATTAACTTAATTGCGTTGCATATTTCAATCTGATTTTAAGACAGATTTCATAAAATCAGCATAAAGGAAAAAAAACCACATTTTTAAAAAGGACACAGCTAGCAAAGTAAATGGAAAAGATCTCACTTTATGAATTAACTTGCTTCCAAATTAGGGCAAGCAAGTTACATTTTCTAATAAGCTTCAGTGAGACACCAAGCAGCAAGGCTTGTTCTTTCCCTTCAGAATCCAATCCAGAATAATTTCTCTATTTACCTTAATGTTGTATCATGAATCTTTCTACTTCTACTATTCCTGAATTCACCTTGAACCACTTCTTTTCATAAACTCTCCCTCTGTATTTAACAAAGTTCCAAGCACGCGTCCCTGCAGAACTGAATTAGGAAGGAACAGATTCAAAGGTCTCTTCTGATTTCCTTTCTGAATCCTACATCCTAACATCTCCTAAGTACAGAAGAGCATACAGCATCCAGTACAGTAAATGAAATAAAACATGGCAATGAAAATGTGCCTCAAAGTGCAACAGCAATTGCTTAAGTTAATTCTGTGTTGAAGATGGGAATTTAGGTTAGAATGCTGATCCCAAACACTTTGGTAAAAACAGAATGCAACTGATTAATTTAATTTTTTTTAAAGAAATGCAGAATGACAGATTTGTCCTTCCAGGTTGCACTGAATGAAGGAAACTGAGCTTATAAATGCCTGCTTGATTGAAGGCAAATGCACAGAAAACAATTCCCACTTTTGTTTCTCTGTATGTTCTGTAACAAAACTTAAAAATATCCCTGAAATTGTTAACATCAGTTCTACCTTCCTCTTTAGATAGTTCCTGTTTTCTCCTACAGCAGAGAAACCAAATCTGAATGTTTCTGAATACGTGAAACGCAAGCTCAAATGCAATTTCTTTACAATGAACTTTGTTTCTTGTGTCTCCCTTACAATGCATCTTAGAAGCAAGCCACAAGCTTCCCTCAATGTTCATCATGTCGATCCTTTAACACACTAATTTTCTTCTGTCATTTTCTGACATACACCCTGACAGTATCATAGGTACTGTTGCTCCCTCCCACCCAGTAAATAGTTTGACCAGCAGACCAGGTTGCTTAGCAAATAACCTCGCGTTTCAGCATCCTCCATATTATATTGTTTTGCATTTGGAATGTTATGTTTTACCTTTTCTGAAGCAGTCAAATGGGTTTTGATGAGTGAAATACAACTGTTCATACATACAGTCCTATCAGGACTGAGCTGTTAAGCCAGCACATATGCTCTAACAGCTGACTGCAGCACAGATGAGCACGTAAAATATGCTGCGTGCTTCCCTCAGGTACTTATGTTTAGAGCAGTTCTTACCTTGGTCTGGATCAGTGCTTTGCAGTTATTAATACAGAACCCATCATATCTGAAGTCTTCATTATCTTTAGCATTTGATTCCTCAGTAATGTCATTCTGGCTCTCCGGAAAGTCCTAAGAAAGCAAATTTACATTTTCTTTACTAATGACTATCTGATCTTAATCTAAAGAGAAGTTTCCTCTCAAATAACAACACCAAATTCTACTTTCTGAAGCTGTATTTGTCATCTTTCCCTGGCACTGAAACAATTCATTGGCAAAAAAGAGACCCATACATGCAAACCAAATCATGACTTAAAATTCAAAAATTGTAATTTCAAAATTAAAGTATTTCTGAATAAAATCAGCCCTAGCCTAAACTAGAAAATATCTGAGAAATCAGTATTGTTAAAAGCAACGCAATGCAAACGTGTTGATGGGCAAGGAAAGGACAGGAGGGGAAGTTAGAGTGTTGGAGAAATGTCTCCCATTTCCTCCTGCTAGATGACTCCTGCAATTCAGAATTGCACAAAGCACCACATCATGGCAATGAAATCATCAACTGGAATAGTTACTCTGAGAAGCACAAACAACTGATTCATGCCATCTAAATAACCAGGTTGAATACTAAACCATCCCCCATGCCTTTATCTTCCCAAAACAAGAGATTAAACAGAGACATTTGAGATTTTCAATATTGATAGTTTGTTCTCGTTTCAATTTAAAATATATTCCTCTCAAGTCTTGCAAAAACAGATGGAATCTTCTGAGGAAAAGGGAAGTGAAAACACACTTCCAGTTCATATGCAATAAAAACACCCAGAGATTACTTTAGCAGCCTCACTGATTCAAATCCAATTTTCACTTAACAGAAAGATATTAGAGACCACCATCTTTTTCATGCTCTGAGGAAGAAAAGAAGACCATTCAGTACGCACACATCTGAAAGCTATTTCTACATTCATACCTGAAGCTGAACATACTACCTAATGCAACAGGTGCCACAGAACTGAGACCTCAGAGTAAAGATGATCAAAATTTGATCCCTACACAATTTCATCCTTACTGACACACAATGATGAGAAAATGTGAGACCATCATTTGAAAAGCCTCTCTTTAAAGAAACTTACGACTCATCCAGATCTTGTTCCTCATGTGTCTGCATGTATAGCTTACATAAAATCCAACCCGCAACCAAAGGTTTATACTGGCATACTGGCAGACCTTTGTTCAATTACCGTTTGATTTGCATCTATTCCAAGAACATTCAAGAGATTTTCTTGGCAATGAGATTTACTCCAGAGATGTCTTAATCTGGAGGTATTATCTAAGTCTCTAAGAGTTCTCCATATGTTTCCAGAATCAATGCTAGGAAAGAAAACACAAGTTGAGGTTAGATGGCATGCAAAGTTTCCAGCAGACATGTAATTCTTTCTGTACATGCAGTTGTGTACTAGCCTACCTTTATCTTAAAGCTATTTCTACATTCGTTCTAAGTATCAACCCAACACACTAATAAATTTCCATGATAATTAATGGAAACAGCCAACATATATTCTCAGAGAAGAAGTGCATTAGAAGCATATGTCCGAGTTTGTTACACGCCCACAATTCATACAAATCAATCGCCTCTGTAAGGTGGGTACAGAGTTCAGCCCTATTAATTTTCTACTTTGCATAATCCATCCCTCAGACCTTTCTCCTCCATGTCAGTCATACTTCACTGCTGCAGCTTGCTACTATTTAACTTGCTGATACCTGATCTGGACACATATATACTACAAAACACAGACCATTCCAGCCATCCTAAGAGTAAGCTACGCGATACTAACTGCCATTAACACAACCCCAGGAAAGAAGTCGGATGCACCACAGCTTCTGAAGAAAATCTACTTTAATGTGAAAAGTGGTCACCACCTGGGAGAAGTGGGGAGGGAAAAAAAAGGCGTGGGTTGTCAGCAGAAGGAGCAGCAATGCTCCTACTTCAGATGATGGAGAATTGAGTCAGATGTGTTGTAAAGAAAGGACAAGCAAACAGGAAGAACAGGCTGCCTGCTGGCTGCTCTGGCATTCCAGAAGCTGAGTCATAAGAAGGAGCACCGACAACAGGAAAAACTCTGAGCAGAAATTTGTACTTCTGATATATTCCCTAACTTGCTTTCCCATGGCTGAAACATAATCCATTTCCTTGACCAACACAATACATAATTGGTAAGATCTACACACTGAAGGAGCACCGTGATTAAAATGGTTCTTAAGTTTGCTGCCAGTACCACAAATATTTAAATTATAAACAACATAATTGTTTGATTAGTCAGAAAAAAAAAGTTCCTCAGTAAACTCATTACCAAAGTTGATTATTTGTAAGTTCAGGAATCCCAACATCTTCATTATTCACACCAAGTACTTGATCCAGGCTTCTTATGCTCTCGCTGGACTGCAATACAAGGACTTCTGGAAAGCCTGACTTAAATATACCCTCATAGCAGAGGTCTGCCTAGAAAAAAAGAGTTTCATTCCATGTTAGCAACCCCACAACACGCAACAGAACGATGTTTCCACTGATTGTATTATTAACTGCTTTTAAAATCTGTATTAATATTAATAACACAGGGGGACTGAGCCCATAGTTCAGTGCTTTGAGTATTTACTTATGATTAGAGGAGGAAAAGCAAGAATCCAAGAGTTTCTGATGAACCTTCCTCTGTAATGTCACAGCTGCTACGTTATGGACTGCTTTGCCTACTAGCAGTCAAGACTCCTGTCTAAGCAATTCAGTCCAGGCCAAAACCAACATATGTTCACACATCAACTCAAAGCTTGTTTTACTAACAGTATTTTTACCACATCTAATGCAACCAAGTCTAACATAAATTATAGTTACTAATAAATAATTGCACTGTACAAGTCCTGTAAAAGCTGTACAGTAAAAGCTGAGGTTGCCATGTATCTGGATGCCTGCATTTGCACCAAACGTTTTCCAGCTTACATTAAGAAGTTTGGTCTGATTTACAAACTCATTCCTCTTCCAGCAGTGATAAGGAGGTTTGCAGGACAGACATGGCCACGAGTAATGTAACCTCATGTAAACAGGACAAGTGGAAGTAACAGGGTTATCCAAGGAGCAGTAAACGCACAAGCAAGGGAAAACGTGCATAACTGACATCCTATCCTAAAGGGATGTTGTTGTGCCATCTCATTCAGAAGCTTTATTCCTTCAAATAAGGAGATATTCAAGTTTTCTAAATCAAAGTACTTAATTGCATTTAACACCCTGCAGCGTGACTGCAGTCCAGGAGCAGAGAGTCCAGCCAGCTTGTTTTCCCTGCCTAGCAATCAACAATCTGATCTGAAAAACAAAACTGTGGATACTTTGACAGGTTGGCTTTATTGGAATTCAAATGACTGAAATAAATTGAGATATTTCCAGTTTCATTATACTGAACTCAGACAAATGCAGTGAATAGTGGAAGTACTGAGGGCGTGCACAGTCAGCAGAGCTGGCAGAGGGTTCTGTGCTTCTGAGCATGCTCCCAGAAGTGCAGCGTAGCCCACACTGCCGTCCCTGAAATTCAGCCCTTACTGAACTGCCTTTCCTGATGGGTGACTGCAGAGACACTCAAAAACTCCTGGATAAAACCCTCCCAATCTCGCTCAAAATATCACAAAACTTTAAGCTGATTTGCAAATTGCTTTAGCGAACTTAAACTATATGGAGGAGAAAAGCATTTGAAAAGCAGAATTCCATGACAGAACACTTGCAGAAGAACTAACAAAGGAAAGCAGAGATCTGCCTTGTTTGTCATTTCTTCCTACAGCCTGTGATGTTGCACAGGCATGCACACAAGCCACTGGAGTACAGCTTATCAAGCCAGATGAAGAGCTCAGTTTACAGGAAAACCACAAGATCTTTTCTGGTATTAATTTTGTTTTTATTACTGCCTACTTCAGTGTGTGTTTTAACACAAAACGCTGGTGATTTCCATTTAACTTGCAGCTTCGTACTGATGATAAAAATACAGATGCAAAAATTTCAAATCTGCTTTTTAAAAAAATCCTCTATACTATAAGTGCTCTATCAGAGCACTTGCTTAACCAAGTACACTCATTCCTCTTACAATGGCCTGAACTTAAAGAACACAAGAAAAATCCTTTAAGTCCTGTGGGTCAGTCTTTCCTCCCGTGTAACTAGCAATAGGAAGAGAGGGAATGGCCTCAAGTTGCACCAGGGGAGATTCAGGTTGGACATTAGGAAATACATCTTCTCTAAAAGAGTGGCCAGGCACTGAATGGGCTGCCCAGGGAGATGGCGGAGTCGCCAACCCTTGAGGTGTTAAAGAAACGTTTAGATGCTGTAGTGGGGGTCATGGTTTAGTGGGGAATATTGGTGGTAGGTGGATGGTTGGACTGGATGATCTTGGAGGTTTTTTCCAACCTTGGTGGTTCTGTGACTGTCGGCGAAGTATCCTGCTACTGCAAGGAAATGGTGATTGTTTTCATTTTTAAGTAGGGGACTCTGCTCCTGACTGTTATAATTTAATTAACTGATGCAATAGCTACTGGAGGTCAGACCTCTGACCTCAGATGATCTTTAGATCCTTTCCAACCTTCCTCTATTGACCATACAGAAGGACTGCACCCCAACCCGAAGAGTTTATGATCTCAAACAATATAAAAAGCACATAAATGAGTGACAAACTACATGTGTGTTCTACTCCCAAAGAAATCTCCAGCAGCACTGCAGCTGCTTCTCTACCCTAAGAAAAAGATACCTTAAGTGTGTTAACTCTGCCTGAAGTTTCAGCTCATGTTGGATATTTCCTTCTGACTTCAATAAACACACACACAGACACAAAATTAAAGCAAAGGCTACAATTAGATTAGTATGTACAACTTTTAAGAACAAAAGCATACAATCTGTTATATTTCTGCCCTGGTTGCCACATACTCTGCTTATTCAGCATAAGACTGCATGTTTGAAATTCCAACCCTAGAATTTAACTTCTATTTATGCATACCAGCAACTCATCACCAGGTATGTTGTGATCTCTGTTCTACCAATGCTAGACAGCTCACCCCATGCTCAGCACTGAGCTTTCCTGAGTAAAGCCTCTGCAAAAGGCAAAGCTCCACAGGGAGAGGGAAGCCTGGCTCCACAAAACTCTGTTCCCTCCATGTTAAACTGATCTTACAACTATAAGCTGTGAGCTATGAAGTACTATTAGCTCCATGAAAGCCTGCTCTCTTTTTTCCTCACATTTTAATTCATAAAAGTAGTAATAATGAAGTCTTGCCATTTTGTTAGTATTTCATTTCATTTCATTTTTCTTTTGTTAGTGTGCTTACCTGTGCCTGGTAAACATTAAAACACATCAGTCTCAACAAGGTAGAACCCTTATGCTGAACAAACAACTTAGTAAGCATTCAGATTTTAGTTCCAACATTGTACAAGAGAATGTATCCCATGATAGGAGAGGAATGGTATTAAATTACTTGCTATTCATTTTCTTGTATCATATTAACTTCTACCCACGATCAGTCCAAAATGCCAGAAAGACTGCTGGGTTATTCAGGCAGCGTACTACACAACAGAAGCTAATGTTTATGTCAGTTTCTAACTCAATTTTATGTTGGTTTATTTCAAGAAGCTTGCAGGCAACATGCCCACTCTATTTTTGTTACCTGCCTTCCCAGCTCTTTGCTTCCTATGCTCATTTTGCCTGGCTTTGAACTCTCACATGCTTTAGGGCCCATTGTTTCTGAAGGGCTATAACCCATTCCTGGTGCCCAGAAGAAAAGCAGTGTGTTACATTCTTCAAAGCTCTTCAGCAGGACAACTGAAGTCTTTGTCAAACACTGGAAAGGAGTTGCATTTTGTTCCACTCGAGTTAACTAAAAAAGCAGCCTGACAGATTCTCTCCTTGGACAGAGTTATTCTCTATAGAGAAGACATTCAGATACAAATCTTAAGATGCAAGCAGCAGTAACAAAACTCTTCTGGTCTCTGGTTTACTGTGAACACTTACCTCATCCAGAGAGCTGGAAGCCTCACTGTGTAGAGATGGCTCAGAACAGAAGTGACCAGCAGCAGCACTGCAACATCCTCTGCTCACGCCTGTACCACCATCAGAAGTGTTTTTTGACTTCAGCAAAACGTCAGGACTGGGATGGAACCTCTGCCATTTGCCCAAGGATTCCTCGAAGCCCTCAAACTCCCCCCAGGAACCGCTGGGCGCTGAGGTACAGCAGCTCTCACCAGACCCCTCACAGCTCCGCCTGTCGCCGTTCAGCACTGGGAGGCTCTGCTGCGTTACCTCGAGGTGAGTAATTCCTTCATTATTTGTCCCTGCGTTTGAGTTCCAGCCATTCTCACCGCCAGACATACCGCCCACCTGCAGCTCTGTCACACACACCCGGCGCGATGCGTCTGTGCTACTGCGACTTCCCGACTGCAACAGGTTCTGCATCGTGCTTGGAAAACCACCCCCACTCAGGCATCGTTTGGTGAAATCTGTGCTGAGAAACAAAACAAAACCAAACCAGCAGTTAAGCTCGATTGCATTAGAACTCTGAATGTTTCTAAAACATGACCAAGTTCTTCGTGTTACCCCTTAAATATCCCCTAAGTCACAGCAAGACGTCCTTCAGCCTCTCCTGCAGCATTGGCATGTGCGTGTTGTTCGGTCTCACTCCTGTGTAAGCTGTTGGCCTGCAAGGAAAGAATAGCAAATAAATACTTCTGTGATTAGGGCTGCGTAGGAATGACCACCGTGAGCCGATAAGGCAGCAGAAAGAATGCTCAGGTTAAAACAAGCACATTCCAGCACTGCACAACCAAAAAATCACAGCAGTTTGGAGTAAATTTCTGATAGCACAAGAAAAGCATGATGGTAGTAGCAATATTTCAGGAAACGTTTAACAGAAGTTGTTGGATATTCAGGGAGTGCTGGAGCGGGTGCAGGAGTCACAAAGAACACCTCCTAGGCACTACCCAGCCCCGTAGTTCTGCCACCCAGCTGGTGCTGGCTGCAAACAGAGCTCTTTTTGTCTGCGTGGGCTTTCCAGGTCCCAAAGATTACCCAAGAGGCGAATGTGACCTGCGGCACCGCAGGCACCCGCAGCTCAGTTCCGTGAAAAGCAACAGCACTCCAACTATTTAAGCAATTAAGGCTGATTTAAGAAGATTGATTTAACATCTGTGAGTTACACACACAATGCCGCATTTATTGCTTTGGGTAGATCGCGTCTCCTCCAGCACCCTTCCCACTGCTAAGCTGCAGTGAAGAGATGCAGTCACTATTAGATGTTAGATAGTCCTCAGATGGAAAAATAACAGAGGTTTTTCCCAAGTTTACCCCAACACAAGGCACAAATGGCCACGGGCACAGGCAGCCCAGATGCAAATGGGGACCAGGCTATGGGGCAACATAACACTGGAGATCCAGGGTTACGTGAGGGGCTGAGCTGGTTGGCAGGGACCTGCCTGACCTCCTCGTTCCCATCCAACCTATCATCCATGTTCTCTCTAAGCTCTCCTCCTTCCTCAGCATTCTGCAGCCATCCCAAGTGCACTTGCCCTGAGAAATCCCCATTCCTCCTTATTATAATATAAGGTAGAAATGTTTCACCCAGAGGGCTCTGAGGCCCTGGCACAGGCTGCCCAGAGAGCTGCAGGTGCCCTAGAGGTGCCCAGGGCTGGGTTGGATGGGGCCATGGGCAGCTTGAGCATGGCAGGGCTTGGAACTGGGTGATCTCTAAGGTCCCATCCAGCCCAACATGGTTCCCTTCCATTTCTCTGGGTTAACAAATTCCTCACTCAGTGTTCCTGGTCCTCTACCACTCCCATTGCCTCCCCCTTCTGCACACTGAGTTGGGACTACTGGCCTTCCTGCAGCCAGGAGTCAGCTCCCACCTCCTAGAAAGGACCATGAGGTAGATTTTAAAGTCAAGGCACAAAGAAGAAAAGTTCATGTTTCTAGTTTCTTGCTCCAAGCTGTCAGGCTAAGAACATACAGGTTGATGATGGTGATTCGTGTTTGTTTTCAAGCTAAAACGCCCACATAATCACAAAATTCCAAGATTCTGACTTAGGGAGAAACACAAACAAATAAAAAACAAAACTCCACCCTCACACAGGAACATACACCTGTGATAAAATGATAGCAATAAGCCAACTGCAGACTGTCAGGATCTTTCCTTCCCCCACCTCCCTCCCCATTTTGCCCTGTCAGGCACTTGTATAGATGGGACTCCACCTGCCCATTGTGTCAGATAAAGCTGGAAGCTGTGGGTCAAGTGGCTGTGGCCATCCCACCCCACAGCCTGAGGGGATCATCCCTTCTTGCCCATATCTTGAAGAACATTGGCAGGGGATGGCGGTTTCTCCAGGGGGAAAACACAGAGAAAACCCCTCAGGGTGTTGGCACTCCCTGTCCTGGGTTTAAAATCTGGGCAGTCCCAAGCAACAGAGGATGGTTGTAAAGGCAAGGAAAAAGGTTTTCTGGAGCGAGGCCCAAAATAAAAAGCATTTTCTAGGCATTACAGTGCGTGTTTTTCAGCCCAGGCACAGATATGTGCGCTCCCCTCCCACACATCTGACTCTCATTTCAGGCTGTAGCGCTTTATCTGAGAGTGAGAGGCTGAATTTGGGAGAGATGCCCAGACTCAAAGCCAAAAGAACTTTACTGGCAGGTCTCTGAAAGGCTTTTTTTTTTCCTTTATTTTCTTTCTGCTTTGGAACCATTTCTTACCCTCCGTGGCCATCCCGTGGCAGCCTGAGGAAATCCGACTGGCTCAGTGAGACTATGATTCAGACTCAAAGCATCTGACACTTGTTAGGACAGCATCATTATCCTACACTGCAGTAAGTTTGTGCTTTACAGGCCTCAGTGGTTGCAGATCTCTTAAGTTTTTAGGGGAGCTCAGCTTTTTTTTTTTTTTTTTCCCAGCTGCTGAGATTGTTTAGCACAGCTTTGTATATCCACCTTTGTCTTCTCACAGCAAAAGGCAGCAGGCAGACTGTGTGAAGACAATGATGCTCCCTTTTTTGTACCACACTTTGCACCTGGAGAGGAACGGACTCACGGGTTTTGCAAACCTGCCTCTGCCTTGCCAAGCTCAAGCTGCCTTTAGTTATGTGAGCAGCACAGTGGAAGAGCAGCTGAGCATCAGAGGCTGCCCCAAGTCCCAGAAACCTGCAGTGCTTTGGGATACAGCCGGCTGCACCATCTGCTGGACATACCTACCCCAGCCTCTGCTTACCAGCAAAGGCAGCCAAAAACATGTGAAATCACCCCCCCAAAAAAACTGCTCAGGTGTGTTTTGTTTTAAAATCTGAAGCATGGCTGCCAACAAAGTCGATTCTGTTCGATCTGTCTGAATTTGTATCCCTTGACTCAGCCCAACTGAGCTGAACTGGTGTTAAAATTCATGTAATGAGTTCAGCGGATAAGGCTCGTGATTTTGTCTGACATACAACAGTCCTTGGGATTTACCCATAACTCCTTCAAAAATCAAACAAAACAACAGTCTTTATATAAACTGCCAGTATGCTAGCTAAATGCTTCAAACATGGACTGTAAGCTTATATTTAGACACTTCAATGTATACAGCAAGTAAATCAGAACCTCAGTATTCAAACACCACTACAAATGGCTGAATTAACTGAACACTCACCTGCAGCTTCTGCTACCACAATTCCTACTGGAAATTTGAGTTTAGAATAACTCTGCAGTATATGTACTTTTTCCTCATTTTGCCCTGAGGGGGAAAAAAAAAAAAAGAAAAAAAAAAATTGCAATAAAGAACCTCGATAGAATAGCTGAAAAACATTTACTTTCACAGAGATGAGTTCTAAGCACTGGTTTAATCGATCAGCTGTGGCTTCATTTGGAGGTACAGTTCATAACTCCACTGAACTCCCTCCTGGAGAAACAGCAACGTTGCCATACCTTCCAGCTTTGCATCATTTCAAAACATAAGTAAAATGCTTTGGCTTTTTCCTGATTGAGTAACAAGAATAGCAACACTTCAGGGCAAATTTTGCTTCTCCCCAATGCTAGATGGGCCTGGGTTTCCTGCAACCCCTGCAAAATAATGCTTTGTGGGATGGAAGCAGCTGGCATTAATGAGGCACCTACAGCAGTTAGAGTGTCTGGGCTAAAAGACCAGCCAGAACGTTTTCAACAGCAGGTGGCAGCTCTCCCTTATTATCTCTTGTATGCATGTAGCAATATACTGATACTCCTTCTGAGTAAGGGAAGTAATTCATCACCTCTACACACTGTGTTAAAGAGGTATTGGACCACCTGCTTTATGTGCTGACAGCAGAAAGGCCATTTCACTGGTGGGCTGCCAGTGTAGAAAGGTACTTTGGGAGTGGAAGACGAACAGTAATGCACCTCCCAAAGACACTAGACATGCAAGTGATGTATGTGCCCTGGCTTTAATGGCTCTGTTTAGCAATTTTGTCCAGCTTAGCAGTGTCATTTTGAATCAAACCTTGCAGATGCTTCTGTGGCTTTTCAGAGTGATTTTGAAGAGCTCAAATTAAACGTCTTCTGGGGAGAGGCAGTAAAATGCAATTACACTCTGGAAGCTCATGGATACACTACCTTCCAAACCTAGATGTGGGCTGCATTACTTTATGAACCTCCAGGATGTTACCTACCTAACACATGTGTCAAAAAAAGACTCAAACTATTCAGAGTTCCTGCAACATCCTGGGGTGGTTATTGTGCCATACATAAAGCCTTCAACTCTTTGCTATCACTCCATCACTTACTGACACTTCTAGATGGAAATCCTTTCCTGTCTTAAGCTGCTTTCCCTTCTGTTGTCAATCCCACCTGCTGAATCCCTCATTTCTTTTATCAGATCTCATTTTTTCCACTATCCATCTACAATCTTCCTTTAGCTTCCTTAGAGAGTTGCATCTTGGGGCACTAAGGAAGTGGTAGTGCTTGTTAATCTGCATGCCAGGCTCTTGTGTAGCAGAAATCTAATGGCAGAAACAGGAGGCTGCTGTATAATGGCAACCTCGTGGCAGTTGCTGTTATGAGACCACTGGCAAGCAATAGTCCATAGACTTCAGGAGAATAAAAGTAACCTTCTTGAAGTCCCATTGCACAACAACCATCATAAACCCTCATAAACTGCTATGAATGGCCCCCCCCACAATGGATGGCTTTGCCTCACAACCACACAACTACCACTGTCTTCACAGGATTGTTTAGGTCAGAAAAGACCCTTAAGATCATCAAGTTCAACCACCACTTAACACAAATCCATCACTAAACCATGTTCACAAGTGTCACATCCACACATCTCTTATACACCTCCAGGGATGGCAAATCCTTCACTTCCCTGGATAGCTTTTTCCACCACTCTTCCCGTGAAGGAATTCTTCCTGCTATCAATTCTAAACCTTCCCCAGAGCAACTTGAGGCCATTTTCTCACATCTTATCACCTGTGATCTGAGAAAACAGAACACTGCAACCTTCCTTCAGGCAGTCGTAGTACCCATGCTTAACATTCACTGCTCCTTGCTCTATTATAATTTCATATTAAGCTACTGTTCTGTGTCTTTTTCCTGCTGATGATCTGAAGTCATCATTGAGCAGCTCCATAAATCCAACAGGCTTTGCTGCCCACATGATTTTGTTGGATATCTAGATACTCATTTATTGAAAGCATGCCTTGTAACTTCTACCAGTGCCCTGCATGCACTGTAAATTGAGTTGTGATCCCTGCAGTTTGCAGCTCACTAATCCTCTGTTTTAATGCCTGATTAGGTCCCAAATCCATTATTGTTAGTGAGATGTCAGAGCAGGGCAGGCAGGAGGACTTCATCCTCTTGGCTAAGAGTTAAGCTGCTAAAGGTACACCTGACTTGTGCCTTACCCTGTATTAATTAGCTTGCCAGGAAATTTCATTAGTGCTGTTCAGTGAAGATGCTGAAAGGTCAGGTACTCAATTAGCAGTGCTGTGCTTCAGCATTAACAAACCTCTAGGAAAAAAAACCAAAATCAAACATACCATTAGCACAAAAACAGTTTAAAAAAACTTGAATGCTTAATGCAAGTAACATTTGAAAGAATACTGAATTCTATTATTAGCATCTCTGAAGAAGATGCAAGAGATTACAAGGACCTTGGCTCTATATTCCCCAAGCGAGCTTCAGGTGAACCATCAGGTATAGGAGTATTGCTCTTGTGCTACCAATGCTATCACAGCCAAAGCTGCAAGAGGGCAGCACAAGTTTTTTTTTTAATGGTTTATTTGCTGCACTGCTGAGGGCTCAATTCTGAGAGCTAAACAATTCAGCCAGAAAATTAGAGAACCTCTGCTGCCACAGCTGGGTCTGGCCTGGGACTTGAAGTCTGGATCTAGGTTCAAACTCCCCAAATGCCCGAGTACTTAAGGTTGTGATAATCTCTATTTATGGTTAAAAGAAAGAAAAGAAAAGAAAACAAGACTGAAAAGGCTTAGCATACATTAGCAGCAGTGGCAGGCTTCTTGTGCTATTGTGAATGAGGTTAGCAGTGCTTTACAGAGTACCATCATAAGGTTGCAATTAGCAATGAGAATTATGCCACAGACATTTTACATTAAAGAAAACAGTTGTAGCAAAAGTCCTATGTTGAATTCCAGAAACATCAAAGCCTGCAGTTCGTATAAATTAATAATACAGCAAAGTGTAAGCTTTGAATGCATAGACACAGCAGTAACTTGTTTCTGAAAAAGCTCTTGTTTGAGAAGAATGGCCACACTTGATATTAATTTTCCATTTTGGGATGTTTTATAAAAGAGCATTGATTTATTACTAGCTTGCAGATGGACATGATTTATTTTGATATCGATAGGCCAGGGAAATACATGAGTTATATGGATATGAACATGCCAGGGAAAGTCATTTTGCTAACTAAAACTGTACTTAAAAACAAATACACCGAGCTACTAACTTTTATAAAATACTTAACCATGTACAAGCCCTCCAAATATTCACCATCTACTTTCTACTCACCAGCTATTCATGTTGTATATCTTGTTTATGAGCAGGAACTTGCTGAATAAGGTGACTTGAAAGCTTCTGAAGCTTCCCAATTTTGACCTTATAGCTAACACCAGGATGTGATTCTCCTTCCAGGTGAGATTGGGCCATCAGCTACCACCTGAAAAAACCCTGAGTTCTCTCTTTTGAAATAATGAAACCAAGGTTTCTCTATTTAAATCAATTCACAGCAGGCAAAAATGCACTGAATAAAGAAATGCTTGAAGTAATAAAGTGGGGTAAATCCAATATTTCAGATCTTGTCCTTTTTTAATTTTAATGCATTAATTTTGCATTTCTACACAACGTCTTTCAACATAAAAATATAAAGCTAAATTTAATGCCCATTACTGCAGTCCCCACTAAATAAATAAGGGCCATGAAAGCATTTGACAGCCTGTTTACAAAGGATTGTAACAGTACAAAGTACCTTCCTGCAGAATGTTCCAAATGGGTACTCAGAAGTCACTGACACCAGATGGCAAATGCATGTGGTCAGCACATTGGGCTCAATGTACCAGGACAGAAGGTGCTGGAAGGGATTCTTTCAAGCCATGGTTGCATTCAGGCTGCCATTTTTCAGGCAGAAGCCTCATGAAGGACTGCAGTGTAATTTTCCCAGGTTGAGGCTGTTGGTGTAACGGGATGTCGTGCTACCCTGTTCTCCATACTCCCCTAATGGGGCTAGAAATTGTTATTTCAAGATTATTTAAAAGGCTGTTAGTGAAATGGCAAGAGAAAAGCAGAAAAGCAGCACCTGTAACATGGGCAAAAGCATCTGAAGGGGTTCTATATGTTGAAAGTGATCTTCAGAACCAGTGTTCCTACTAATAGAGAGACCAAGGTTTGGTGTGGTATCTGGGCAGCCTTGTTGATATGTCCCCATTCTGGGAATATGGATAATGCAGTAGAACATGAGCCATGGGCCTTGAGAGGAGCTGGGCTTCAACTGCTGGGAAATGGCATGTGGCTGCTGGCTGATCACCCCTTGTGCACAGGGCTGCAGTCTGCCCCAGTTCCTACCAAGCCATGTGCAAGGATGCTACAGACCTCAGCTGTGTGCTGTATCCCTTGTGCTGCTACACTATGGGTAGCACTCCTGAAGATCTTCCCTTTCTCACCCATGAGCAGAAGTTAAAAAATATGATTGCCTGTTACTTGTTCTCCTCCTGCATCTGAGCTACCCATGGGTTGGTGGTTCAGCCAAGGGATAAAATGCATGATTTACACCTCATCCCCCAGACAGCCATGACAGCAGTCTGCAATTCGCAGCACTCTAAATAAGAGTTGTCTGCCCCATCTCGGTTTTGTTGCTATTTTTACTCATTTCTTATGCTGCAACAAACAAACAAATAAATAAATATAAATCTGCAAAGCCCCAGCTAATTTGGCTTCATTTACTGAAACTATTTCAACATTCAACCAGCCAGACCAAATTACCAATTTCAAATGTCTAATCTATAGCGTGGATAGAGTCTTGAAACAATTAAATCTAGCAGAACTGGCGTGCATACTGAAATGCACAGCATCGTACCCCTTCCATCTCTCTGCTTTTTGCAGGAACTGAAGAGATGTTTTCAATACAATATGGAGTCTGAATTTTAGAACCATACTTTCTAAAGACAGTTTTGCTGACTGCACCCCAAAATTCCTGGTGCTCAAAGAACCAAGTCTCAGCAAGGAAAGTGAGTGTCTCTTTCTGGAGCGTACATCTTGCATGGAAAATCTGGGGGATATGATTTTCTTCAATTTTTTCCAGGAAATGGCAGTTGCCTTCCTAGCTGTTGGAAGTCTCTAGAATCACTATGAATAAAACCACATAAGGTGTAACTGCAATTGCAACTTAAGGCATTTCCAGCCATCAGTGGATCACACTGCAAAGCACCAAATTTCTTAGATCTCTCCCATGAGGAAGGAGACCTCTGTTCTATAAGGAGTAAAATCCCATCAGCTGAGCCATTCCTGCTCACCCCATCCACATTTGCTGCTAAGTTAACAAGTGTGTTTTGTTTCTTGGGTGAAGCAGATGGAATCGTAGAATATCTTGAGTTGGAAGGGACCCATAAAGATTATCAAGTCCAGCTCCTGGCTATGCACAGTCCAATTCCCATCTTCCCCTTTAGACCATTCACCAACCGTTGCAGCCCTATAAGATAGAAAGAACACATGCAAGACTGTGATCAGGCTTGTAGCAGCTTAGTAGCTTTTGGTGTTGACCCACACCTTTCCCACAAATATAAGTTACCACGGCTGGTTAGCCCATCCCAATTGCCTGTGCCAGGTATGTTGTGTGCTGACAGAGCTCTTCCCTAAGGCCTCAGCTGCTGGTATAGAGGAATAAACCTGTTTGCTTGTTTCTTTAATAATTATTCCTTAATTTGCCCAAGGTTTTCTACCATTTTAGCACAGTTTTCTAGTAACTAAATTAAGGAAGTAGATTTGTGAAGACCATACTAAAAGATTCTTCTATTTTCTTAAATATCAGTTTACCCTAATTTCATATATGAAACGATTGTATGATCTGATAAAATTTGTGTTGTGCTTTGGTTGTTCCAATTGATCCAACAGCTTTTTTCAATTAATAACAGTTTTTCCGTAGTATAAAAATGAGTTGAGCCTTTTTACAGACTTGCAGCCTGAGCTTTTGAGTGAATGCATTCAGAATTTTATATTTCTGAAGAAGATTCGTAGCACTAAAAGAGTGGTATATCATAAATAATTAGATTAAATCATTCAGAGAGTATATATAAAGGAAAACATATGTTTGGTGAACACTTAATGCTTTTTCTCCCATTATTTGAGTAATTTTGAGAGGCATTTTTCATATATACATAGTGTTAAGTAAGAAATATTACAATATTTTGCCTTAGGGAGATTGTCTTCTTATCATTTGACATGCAAGAGGCACGAGGTGAAATGTCCAAGCTGTTCTAGATGTCATAGCTACGTAATACCACTTTGAAGTATGTTAATGCTCTTTTTGAGCTGTTCCACCACTGTCCACAGAAATCCTCCCATTACAAGTAGCCTTCAAATAACAGAAATAGCTCAAAGAACCACTAATCTTCAGGGCCATATGATGCTGCTGTATTCACACTGCTAAAGTGGAAGAGGAAAGACAAGAAGTTAAAACTAACAGATGTGGTTAAACTGTGGAAATTCATGTGTCTTGAATTCCATGGGTTTACTTTAATCAGCTCTGTGATCTGTTTTGTTAAGCAGTTGTAAATCCTCATGCATGCACTAGGAGGGATATTTAGCAAGGCCAATACAAGTAGGCTTTTTCTACAGTCATAGGCTTTATTTAGGAGAAAACCGGGGCTGTGAATTCAGTAAAGTGATTTTATGAAAAGATGCTGAAAGAAAAGATGCTGAAAGTCCCTTCCTCAAGCCCTTTTTATTCCTGCAGCCAGCTCTGGTACTCAGCAGGTTTCCCATCAGCCCAATCAGCTCTAGCACTGCAGAAAACTGTGCTAGATGTTTTTTTCTGTCAGGTTAACCTGCTGCCTGGCTGGTGGCTGAACTGCCACACACTGAAGTGCAAGTTGGTGGGCAACGCTTTAAGCCACTGAGCGTTTTCAGAGAGCTCTGTGCCTTACATGGCATCAACACTGTACATTAAGTATTGTACATACACAAATCTACCCATTCACACACAGAATTATATTACATACGTAAATATGCATATTTAAATACTTACGTACTTACATCAACCTATAAAAACGATGCTGAGGAACAGTTTGTTTAAAAAAATGTTGCTATGGGTGCAGTGACTTTTGTGTATATTTATTGAAAAATGGGCTTATGCAGAATGAAGTGACAGGCTGATGTGTATCTTCCTGGGGCCAAATTGACAGTGGTGGTTGATTCAGCTCTGCTCGCTATTTTTGACAGAGGACAGCATCTCTCTGTGTCCTAGTTTAGCAAGTCCAGAGCTCATAATCATCTTCACGCAGCTGTGACTCAAGCAAACTCAGACAGTTTCCGTGCCTGAGAAAGGAAGAGGATGTGTGTCATTTCCTCATGTAGACAAATAAGGCTTTATTTTCCCATTTATTTTATTTTTTACAATTATTCTTATGTGATAGCAAATGGTTTGGGACCAACAGTGCAGTGCAAACTGCATGGCAAGATCCAGCAATGAAAAGACTGAAAGGTCCATGTTCCTTTAATGGATCTTCTTCTGGACTCAGACTTCAAAGTACAGATTGATAAAGCCATGAACTATTATACTAGTATTCATAACTACTGAAATGAATACCATCCTTTTCTTCCAGTATTCTTGAAAACATTAATGAATAGTCTGCCATTATACACTTGTCCAAAGAAACCAAGTCTAGGACCTGATCCAACAGTGATGTGAACATGGTGCAGATCCCTGCAGCCTGTTAGCAGAAGTCTATACAAGTGCCCAATTGTAGGTCAGTGTCCAAATTTTGCCCATAGAAGAGATAAGTGTAGTTTAAGGATCATGCTCTGCATAAGATGCAAAAAAATTTAATACCTTTGGAGGAGGAGAAGTAAATAAGTGGTCAGTTCCAACCCAGCCATCTTTGAGGGTCAGAAGTAATCTGTACACATACCCAGGAGCTGATGGATGCAAACATTGTGTGCAGGAAACAGATCCAGATCCAATGAGATTCTCTCTGCTATTTCAGATCCACTCTGCCAAAAGTTCATCTGAAATTGTTTCAATATCTGTGTCTTTATAATGGGGTCATTAATTACCCTCCATGTTGTTTACAAGACAGTTTCGGTGATTTGCAGACTTGGCTGACATCTGACAGTTCCCAGCTGACATCTGTGCTCCAGAGATGTACTTGACCAAGGCCCTGATGGCCCAAGAGCTCTGCATGGCAGCCCCCTGCGTGGGTGCCACTTCTCTGGAGGTGCGGGTTCTCCACTGCACAATCAGATCAGATCAGAGCTTACAAATAAATCACTGTTTTTTCCATTCACAACTAGAATAATGTCTTCTGGGTCTCTTCACTTTCATCCATGACGTTACATGGTGGACTAACCCGCTTTTTCCTATGAGATGTACCTCAGTAGGATTTTAAGTACAAGGAGTGGTTCAAACCACT